GAGGTTCGACTCCAGTGCCTTGGTGAACTTGATTGGGAGCATCTGTGCACCAGGAGGCGATACTACAATCTCGCCACATATCCGGCTACAGCTCTCTTCATCAACCTAGCACCTCCTATGGTGAGGTGCCCCAATGACCGAGGAACTGCCTGTGAAAAGGCGTACTGCCCTGTGCCCATCTGAACGTCTTTTCCCATCATTGCGTGACGAATTGAATCCCACTTGCTGTTGGGTGGCGCAGCATACATTCTTATGCAGGTCATGCAGCCTTGCCAGGGGCGTCAGCGCCTAACGGCCTCTTAAGATATCTTCTTTCCGCCTCGATACCACCACATTTTCAACTTGAAATCATACCATTCGTCCCAAGGCCCAAACTCACAAATCACCAAGATGTGGCTTCTCAAAACCGATGACCTCACCCTCCACTGTTTCTTCGGCTCCATTCCGAAGTACTCCATCCTCTCACACACATGGGAAGCTGAGGAGATCACCCACCAGCAAATGCTGAACCCCACCGACGAGGTGCGGCGCAAAGCCGGCTACCAAAAGATCAAGGCGTGTGCTGCGGAGAGTCGAAAGCTGGGCTATTCCTATACCTGGATCGACACATGCTGCATCGACAAGTCCAGCAGCGCCGAGCTGTCCGAGGCCATCAATTCCATGTTTTCCTGGTATCGCGATTCAGAGCTATGCCTGGTCTACCTCCAAGACTATAAGCCTAGCCCAGGGTCGGCCTCGATGGACGACATAGGTCATTGCAGGTGGTTCACCCGGGGCTGGACTCTCCAGGAAGTCCTCGCGCCCGCAAATGTCGGTTTCTACACCGCAGATTGGACGGCCATGGGCACCAAAGAAGAGCACGCGCAAGTTCTTTCGGGGTTTCTCTCCATCGACCGGGATCACTTGATCAATTTCTTACTCAAAACCATAAGCGTAGGGATGAAGATGAGTTGGGCTGCACACCGCCAGACGCACCGCCAGACGTCGAGTACTGCCTCATGGGCCTGTTCGATATGGGCCTGTTCGATATCAACATGCCGCTTCTCTACGGTGAAGGGTCGAAAGCCTTCCTGCGGTTGCAAGAAGAAATCATGAAAGTTGACGATAGTCCATCAATCTTTTTTGGAAGACATCAGACGATGAGCACCGTACTCTGAGAGGTCCTCTGGCCCGAAGCCCACGGGAGTTTTCACACGTATCACAGATCACGTAGTACGGAATCACATATCATCCTTGGAGACGTCCTTCGCCATGACGAACAAGGGCCTGCAGCTCCACGCACGCTTGGCTCCTATCGACAGAGTGTATGACGAGTGCGTCTATGATGACAGGTTGAAAGCTGAACTCGGGAGCATCATAGCTCAAGATGGTGGCTTTTCCAAGACTCTT